TATCTACCTGTCTATCTGCCTATCTATCTATCATCTATCTGCCTATCTATCTATCTATCTGCCTATCTACCTGCCTATCTACCTGCCTATCTGCCTATCTATCTATCTACCTGCCTATCTATCTATCTATTTTCTATCTATCTATCTGCCTATCTATCTATCTGCCTATCTATCTACCTATCTATCTATCTATCTGGCCTATCTATCTGCCTATCTATCCATCTATCTGTCTGCCTATCTCTCTGCCTATCTATCCATCTATCTGCCTGCCTATCTATCTATCTTCCTATTATCTACCTGCCTATCTATCTATCTATCTATCTATCTATCTATCTATCTATCTATCTGCCTATCTATCCACCTATCTGTCTGCCTATCTATCTATCTGACTATCTATCCATCTATCTGCCTGCCTATCTATCTGCCTATCTATCTATCTATCTATCTATCTATCTATCTATCTATCTGCCTATCTATCTACCTGCCTATCTATCTACCTGCCTATCTATCTATCTATCATCTATCTATCTATCTATCTATCTATCTATCTATCTATCTGCCTATCTGCCCATCTATCTATCTATCTGCCTATCTATCTATCTATCTGTCTCTCTCTCTATCTATCTATCTATCTATCTATCTATCCATCTGCACATGCCTATCTATCTGCCTGTATGTCTATCTGCCTATCTATCTATCTATCTATGTATCTATCTATCTATCTGCCTTTCTGCCTATCTGTCTATCTATCTACCTGCCTATCTATCTATCTATCTATCATCTATCTGCCTATCTGCCTATCATCTATCTGCCTATCTCCCTATCTATCATCTATCTGTCTATCTGCCTACCTATCTGTCTGCCTATCTATCTATCTATCTATGTATCTATCTATCTATCATCTGCCTATCTGCACATCTATCTGTCTGCCTATCTATCTATCTGCCTATCTATCTATCTTCCTATCTATCTGCCTATCTATCTATCATCTATCTGCCTGCCTATCTATGTATCTATCTATATATGTATCTATCTATCTATCTATCTATCTGCCTATCTGCCTATCTATCTATCTGCCTATCTATCTGCTGATCTATCTACCTGCCTATCTATCTATCTGCCTATCTATCTAGCTAACTATCTATCTATCTGCCTATCTATCTATCTATCTACCTATCTACCTGCCTATCTATCTATCTACCTGCCTATCTATCTGCCCATCTATCTATCTATCTCCCTATCTGTCTATCTGTCTATCAATCTATCTATCTATCTATCTGCACTTGCCTATCTACCTGCCTGTATATCTATCTGCCTATCTATCTATCTATCTATCTATCTATCTATCTATCCATCTATCTATCTGCGTATCTCTCTCTCTCTCTCTCTCTCTCTCTATGTATCTAGCTATAGCTATCTAGCTCCTACTTACCTATCCTATTGGTTCTGTTTCTCTAGATAACCCTGACTAGTATAGATTTTGGTAGGAAGAACAGTTCTACAGTAGGATAATTTTAAGGATGAGTGTCCTTGATCAAATTTGGAGTTTCTAGAATTGGCTTTCTAATCTAATTGGACCTAAATTCTAAGCACTGTACTTCTAACAGTAGAAAGAGCAATGACAGTCAATGACATGAACTGTTTTCAGAGATACCCAAAATGTCTGCATTTGATATTCTTAATTAAGCACTGATAAGAGGCAAGGTACTTGTTTACTCTCTATGTAATACCTCCAGACACTTGTGTAAAACCATGGAACATAATGATGATGGGTTTTGTTGCTTCTAATATCACTGGGAAATTTGATGAAAGACAGTAACGAGCTTAGTGATTCAATTTTGCAGATCCAGCTCCACATAAACAGCGTAAGTTTCTACCTGTGCTCTGAGCCAGGAAACTCTCTTGTAGCCACAGGGAAGAATTTGCTACAATTCCAACACAAGCCCTTATCATGCCACTGGCTGAATTACAAGAAACACTGAACTCCTCAGTCTGGCAGGGTGTCTACTGTTGAAGCGAAAGTTGAGAAAGAATAGCATCCTGTAACTTGGGATAAAGATGGATGAGAAGACTGATGTCGCTGGGGGCATTGATCTCCTAAATTCTAATGAGTTTTTATTGCCAGCAGAAGTGGCCTCTTTACAGCCAACCCCTTGGCAATCCTTTCCACACAAAGTGATACAGGCCTTTCCACATGTGTCTGAGTAGATTACATCTACAATGCCTAAGGAAACGGTAATGGCTTCCCCTAAGGCAGCTGTCAAACAATACACTGCTGATTGTCTTCAAGACCCACCCTGACATCTGTGTTTCTTTTAGACTCACGGTGAGATTGAAGTTATAACGGGCCCCTAAAGCTGATGGATAGTATTTTCCATGAGGAGGTGTGATACATGTCAAAAAGCTACTTGAGTTTTCTAACTAATGCAAACAGAAATCTGAAGACCCTATGTGGAAATAAAGATTATGGGTGTGGATAGCTGGGTGTGGTGGCTTGTACCTGTAGTCCCGGCTACACCGGAAGCTGAGCTGGGATGAATGCTGGAACCCAGGTGTTTGAAGCTGCAGTGAGTGATGACTGTACCACTGCACTCCAGCCTGGCCGACAGAACAAGACCTCATCTGTAAGAAACCTAAAAAAGAAAAAAAAAAAGTGTGGATAACAGGAGAATGAAAATAAACTTGAATCGGTCCAAATTTAATGGTACAGGGCCATTAAGCAGATATTCTGGTTTAATGTTGCAACTTGGGTATTTAAGGATGGTATTAGCAGTTTTATGACTGGTTGGCTGAAATATAGTTCAACAGAAGTATGACCATAAGGAGGCTGGTGATTCCCCCATCTTCCCTGTATTATGTTGGATGAAGGAATTCATAGGCCTAAGGATATAGGAATGCTAGAATGGATTTGCCACTTAAAAGCAACTTACAGCAGGGCACGGTGGCTCACACCTGTAATCCCAGCACTTTGGGAAGCCAAGAAAGGTCCATCACTTGAGATCAGGAGTTTAAGACCAGCCTTGCCAACATAGTGAAACCCCATCTCTACAAAAAAAATACAAAAATTAGCCAGACATGGTGGCACACACCTGTTGCCCCAGCTACTCAGGAGGCTGAGGCAGGAGGATGGTTTGAATCCAGGAGGCAGAGGTTGCAGTGAGCTGAGATCATGCCACTGTACTCCAGCCTGGGTAGAAATAGTGAGACTCTGTCTCTAAATAAATAAATAAATAAATGCAACTTACCCATATTGATAGACTCCAGAAAACATACTGTTTATCAGAACTTTGTTAGGTAGATTTGTAAGGGAGGCTGGGCACTACTGAGGAGCGCCCTGATCTCTCTTCTCTGTAGACCAGACCTTAATATAGAAACCACAGTACACCAGTTGAAAATCAAAATGCAATGGGAATAACTGAGTTTCAGGGAATCTTATTAGGAAGTAGCAACACTCAATTTTCAAAGGCAAGGTTGGCATAGTTATGTCAATGGACAGCACAGGCAAGATAACAATCAGGTTCATCTGATTCCTAGAGATTTATGTTGCTGGACAGTTTTATAATAGTGTTCTTGGAATTGAAGTACACAGGTAGCCTACTAAATGCTTACTTGAAGAAGCAGAAAATCTTTAGATAAAATAAACAAGATTCTGCCTCAAATCCTGAAAACCAGAGACTCATAGAACCTCACTCAACTCTCACAATTGATCCAGTTTACAATCTTGGAACCCCTTGAAAGGAGCAGCAGCCCAGTCCTCTTGAAGTAGGACACAAGTACACTGCCAAAATGTTATAGTTTATATTTCTGCTATCCTTCCTAAAACAAACCTACAACCATTTACTAGAGTAATGATAGCAGGAGGTAAACACATCCCTAGGCAGATATGGGCAGCTCCCCAATGAAACTCCACCTTCAAACCAAAGACTGTTTAAAGCCTGAAAGCCAAGCTCCAAGACTCAGATAAATCCACAGACCATACTGGGAAACTCCATTTGGCAGACTTTCCTGATTGGTCGCCACCCTTCACCTACTTTACATATACCTACTCTTTCCTAATTTTATTTTATTTTTTTGCACCATTGTGCCCACCTTTGAGTGGTCCCTTGTTTTACCCTTTTATGCATACTCACAAACCAATCAATATGCACTCCCCCATTCTGAGCCCATAAAAGACCTGCACTCAGCCACACTTCAAGACTACCTGCCTCTGGGTGGGGAGGGCCACCTGCTTCAAGTACTCCCTCTGCTGAGAGCTGTTCCATCACTCAATAAAACTCCTCTCTGCCCTTCTCACACTTCGACTGCCAGTGTAACCTCATTCTCCTTGGACACGAGAACTCAGGAGCTGCCAAACAAATGCGGGTACAAAAAAAGGCTGTGGCCATCCACACTCTGCCGGCATCCAGCAGCCACCCCACATGACAGGAAGCAGAAGCAGGGCTGGGCCAGCTCTAGAGTCATGAGTTGGAGTTAGGCAGTGGGACTGAATGAGTTTTAGCATGCTGTAACACCCACTTTAGAGCTTTGGAGTTTACAGATGCCCCTGAGTTTTCAGGTGCCACTCATCCAGATGCCAGTGCTCAAGGTGAAGCAGATTGTGGCAGACACAGCCCAGCTGCAGGCTAAGCATGGATTCCATGGCCAGCATGGGATCCGGGGCAGAGTGTAAGCCAGGTGCTATCTGGAAGGGTGAGTGGGCGGGGTGCCTCCTGCGGTGAGCCTGAGGTGCAGGGAGGCCTAAGCAGGGGCATCGCCAGCCATGGAAGTCTCCAGCTGGTTAAGTGGCACTGAAAATCATCCTTCAGTAACTGTGCTTTAATAAAATAAATTTCAGCTGTCAAGCCTGTAATAGCATGGAGAACTATACAGAGGAGACGAGAACTAACAGGAAAGTCTCACTAAAAAAAAAAAAAAAGCGGGATCAGGCTGTAGTCCAGCTATGACAGAAATGCTAACCAGGACTTCATGAGCTGAACGCACTCCAGCTGGGACAGAGCGAGACTCCTCTCAAAATAAATAAATAAATAAAAATAAAAAATAAATTTTGAGGATCACTGGACACGGACTCTGAACTTGACATTGATCCCAGGAGACCCACAGTGATTCTGTAGCCTACTAATTAGAGTACCTTCTTATAAAGGTCAGGTGATTCATGGAGTTTTAGCTCATGTCTGACTCACAGTGGGTCTGGTGGGTCCCTGAAGCCCTTCTCTGATAATTTTCTAGTTCCTGATGCATAATTGGAATAGAAATACATAACAGCTGAAAGAATGCCCACATTGGTATTGGGCAGTGAGAACCATTATGGTGGAAAAGCACAAATGAAATCCAATAGAGATGCTTTTGTCTAGGAAAATATTAAATCGAAAACATAACTGCATCTTTGGAGGAATTTAAGACATTAGTGCCACCATGAAGGACTTGGAAGATGTCAGAATCGTTTTCACCACATTTCCATGCAACTCTCCTATTGGGCCTATGCAGAAGACAGATGGATACTAGATAATGACAGTGTATTCCCATAAGCTCGATCAAGTATCAACTAAAATTGAAGTTGTTATCCAAATGTTTGTTTCATTGTTCCAGCAAACTAACACATCTCCTAGAACTGGTATGTAGCTACTGATCTAGTGAATGCTTTCTCTCTATCTCTGTCCATAAGTTTCAAAAGAAAAGTTTGTTTTCAGATGCCAAAGACAACACTAAACCTTAACTATCCTATCTGAGGAGTATATCAACCCTCTATCCCATGTCACAAGCAGAACACTTGATCAACTTTCCCCTTCCACAGGTATCACACTGGTCCATTTCATGGATGGGATCATGGTGATTGTACCACGTGAATGTCAAGTAGCATCTACAATTAGCATATTCATAAAATATATTATGTCAGATGGCGGGCAAGATGTTTAACTGAAATTCAGAGGCCTTCTACATTAGTGAAATTTGTAGATATCCAGTGGTGTGGAACATTTTGAGGTATTCCTTCCAAAATGAAGGAAAATTGGTTGCATCTGGTCTCACCAACAACCAAGAAAAGGGCACAAGGCCTAGTGGGTCTATTTGGGTTGTGGAGGCAACACATTTGTCCTTTGGGTGTGTTACTGTGGCCCATCTACTAAACAACTCAAAAAGCTTCTAGGTTTGAGGAGGCCCAGAACACAAGACTTCAGCAGTCCAGGCTGCCATGCAAGCAGATTTTCCACTTAGGCCGTATAATCCAGCAGATCCAATGGTACTTGAGGTGTCAGTGGCATGTAAATATGTTCTTTGGAGTCTTTCTTAGGTTTCCACAGGTAAATCACAGCAGAGGTCCTTCAAATTTTGGAGCAAGGCACTGCCCTTATCCACAGATAAATACCCTCTTTTTCAGGGTCAGTTTGTGGCCTACCATTGGTTTGTAATAAAATAAAATGCATGATTTTGAGCCACTAAGTTCCACGTATCCTGAGCTGCCCATCATGAATGAAGTGTTTCCTGACCCATGTAGCCATACAGGTTGGGTGTGCATGGTAGCACTCTTACCAAATGGAAATGATACATATGTGATTGGGCCAGAACAGGTCCTGAAAACACAAGTTATATGAAGAAATGATACAACTGCCCATGGTTTCCACTCCTGCCACATTGCCTTCTCTCTCCTAGTCTGCACTTATGGCCTCATGAAGAGTTCCCAATAATCAGTTGACAGTGTGAGAGAAGACTGTTCAGATGGTTCTTCAGGATATCCAGATATCACCTGAAAGCAGACAGCTGCAGCACTCTGGCCCATTTTGGGACATCCCTGAAGGATGGTGGGAAAATGAATCTTCTCTATCGACATAAATCAGTTGGTGGATCTAGCTGTCCACTTTGCTTGGAAGGAAAAATTATTGTGAGTGTGCTTATATATGTTTGGGTGAGGGAAAAGGGACAAGATGGAAGAAGGTGAACAAAATGGCGCAGTCCCTGTTGCTTCCGGGTTCTTCATCACCAACTTGCCCGTGCCCAGGAAAGTGCGGATCAATTGAGCATGCACCACGTGACATCAATCTGAAGAAACCAAAAATGACCGGACCACGCCTATGGAGACGCCCCTATCCCGCCCACTGCCCTCCCCTTTCCGGTGCCAATACATAAAAGTCCGCCGAGGACAGAAGCCGGCACAACTTCCCTGGCCCCATACTTGTGGACCGAAGAACCTCGCCCGAGAGTGCGTGCATATTTGCAATTAAAAGCTGCCACTTTCTTACCTAATGTGGTCTCGTGTTAAGTTGTTCTGGTCCTTTAAATAAATAAAACAGTTGGTGCCGAAACCCGGGAGGAGATCCCTCCTCGGTATCCCCCAGGGGGATCCTAGGAACCTCCTCCCTCAGGAACCTGCTACTCCAGCTCCAGAAGCCTTCCTGGGTACATCAAGCGTTCCGGCTCCTTTTTGCCACCGCTCTGAAGTCGCCCTCTTCGGTGAGTGTTCCCCTTCCCTAGCTAATTGCCAAAAGTCCCCTCGGCCAGAAGTCGTGTGCCCACCTGAGGCCCCCATTAGGCCACCAGGTGGCTATCTAGAGGACTCCAACCCGGAGACGTCCGTCTTGGAGCTCCTCTTTTCTCCAGTGGCTCCAAGAGCCCCCAGTCTTTAACGGCGGCAAGGGACGCTTTGCCGCTGCACAAGGCCGGCTTCCATTTCCGTTGGCTAGGCAATGGGAACCTCACAATCAAAAATCCCTAAGAACACCCCCCTGGAGGAATTTGGAGGAATTTCTAAATTCCTCCAAAATTTAGAAACCTTACATTTGGCTCAGGATCTAAAATGAAAAAGACTAATCTTCCTCTCCACGGTGGCATGGCCACAATATAAATTGGACAACCAATCTCAATGGCCACCCGAAGGTACACTTGACTATAATATTCTACTAGACCTCTCTAATATCTGTCAGAGACCAGGAAAGTGATCAGAAATCAATCATGTCCAAGGCTTTTGGGACTTGTGCTCTCG